TCTCTCTCTCTCTCTCTCTCTCGTATGGAGAAACGACTTCCGGGTCCAAAACGAAAATCAGTTCTCTAAAGAGTTTTTCTATTTATTCCCAAAATTTATTGTCCAAATTTCTAATTGTTTTAGGTGGAGTTTAAATCATTGAGTAACTTTTCTCTTCTTTTCGCCTTTCTGTTTAACCGTGTCACCACGCATTCTCCTTCTCTCGTTTTTAGATCGAGGAAGGAAACCAAGGAAAAGTGAAATTCATCGAAAGTTTAGGTGAAGGTGGTTTTGCTAAAGTTTGGAAAGCAATTTTGATCAACACAGAACAAGAAGAATCAGAAATTCGATTGACCGTCAAGCGACTGAAATCCAACGTCCCCGACCAAGTCGTCGAGAACTTCAGAAGCGAAACCAACCTACTCGCTGGTCTACAGGACTTAAACCTTCTCTGTCTAGTCGGAGTCTCCGCAAGCGATCCTCTGTTCATGGTCTTTGAATATTTTGACGATATGGATCTTCATCGTTATCTAAACTTGCACACTCCATCGGATTTGTCAGCCAATCCGGATGGAGATCCAGACGAAGTTCTCCTGTTGGACTTCGCTCTGCAAGTCGCGTCGGGGATGGATTACCTGGCTGAGAAAAACTTCATTCACAGAGACGTTGCCTGTAGAAACTGTTTCCTAACTATGGATAATATTGTCAAAATTTCAAACCTTGGAATCGGTAGTTATAGGTACCCCTCCGATTATTCTTGGGTTCACGGAAGCGCGCTTCTTCCGGTTCGGTGGATGGCACCGGAAGCGCTTAACTCGTTGCACTGTACACACGAGAGCGACGTTTGGTCTTACGGAGTGTTGTTATGGGAGATTTACAGCTATGGAAGTCAGCCTTATTCAGGTCAAAATAATCAAGAGGCTATTGAATGTATTAGAAGGATGAAATTGCTGCCATGTCCGGATGGCTGTCCCGCGAGAATTTACTCTTTGATGAAAGAGTGCTGGGAAGAGAATTCGTGTGACAGACCAGATTTCGCTGACATTTGCTCACGGCTACGATCTTGGGCGGGCGACTCGGTTGGTGAGAACCACTGATCAATGTGGCAGTCGGTGATATATTGTATCTGATGCTTTTCTCGATGTTAAGCATGTCAGACCTCGGCCTAGATATAAGGAAAAGTTGTTTTGTTTGCCAAAGAAAACTGGTCTACGAAAGACTAGATTTGAACGCTTTTTCCTCACGGCTAAAAACCTTGCCCGGAGAGATGGTCTTCAGCAGCTGATGGTATTGTATATGATACTTTTCTCGATGTTTAGCATATCAGATCTCGGCCAAGATATAAGGAACAGTTTTTTTGTGTTTTTTTTGGAAGAAAACTGGTCGAACGAAAGACTAGATTTGAACGCTTTTTCCTCACGCCTACAAAACTTGCCCGGAGAGTTTGTCTTTGGCAGTCGGTGATATATTGTATATAATGCCTTTCTCGAGCAAATCGCACCTCGGCCAAGATAAGATGGAAACGTGTTGGATGAATGGTCCAAGGTTGTACTACAACAAGAGTACAGCCCAAACCTATTGAAGAAACATATTATTTATGTATCACAATTTTTATCAGAGTATGCGAAGTTAATCCATAATGCCATATTATTGTCCATACCAAGAAATCATAGTCCTCTATAGAAATTAACAATGGACATGTTCATAAGCCTTGAAATCTACCAAGGCGACCATTATTGGATAGAGAGCATTTAACCTAGTTATTTACTTATATATAAATATTTTCACCTCCAGTGGTTACTATTGAGTGGAACGTTAAGAGGTGACTTCATGGACTTTCAGRAAGTTTACGTTGACTTTGGACTTGATCAGTATTATTGATACTGTCTGAGTGAAGTTCAATCAATGTTGGACTTATAGGCATCTCCTTAGTAAAGTCAAATCAACAGCTGGAATACGGCTAGAAATTCGTAGTTTGTGCATGATATGAAATCATTGCCGCCATCTTGGAGAAACTAGACAGAAATGTTTTTGGCACGTCATCCAACATGGCGGGTGGCTACATGTGAGGTCATTGCTGTCGTGGTTAATAATAGTATTTCTGGAGGTTCTTATATATCCTCCAACATGGTGGCTGTCTTTACTGCACTTCAAAAACAATTTCAACCGTCTTTCGAAATTGCGAGTGAACGTTTTTAAAACTTGGAAAAAAATGTTGAAAATATTTGTCCAATATACCGTTTTCTCAAGGTTGCGTGCGCGTTCAAATTTAAGGAACTTGACGGGCCACGATACCAGAACACGAGTATTATCATGAATTGTTATTATTTTTTTTCAATAAGAATTCATAAAATTGATTATTCTCCTCTTCAAATATGAAAATTCTTCTCAATTTTACTGAATTTTGCGTTTTTCAGTTTTGTGGCCCATTAAGTTGGATGCGCACGCAACCTTGAGAAAACGGTCTATGGAAATATGGTCCACTTTGTGTTACGGTTGGAGCTGATTTCTCATGAGTGAGAAAACCCTATCACTCCACTTATAGATGGCTTCCATTTTTGAGCACTCTGATTGGCTAGTCTGCCTTTTTGCAACTTTTTATTGGTTTAAAGTGAAAGCCACTAAAGTGCCAGAGGATAACACAACACGTACGTGATTGGCTAGTCTTAGTCTAGATTTTCGTCATTTGTGATTGGTCCAAAGCTAAAGCCACTTAATTGCCACAGTACCATACAATGTGATTGGCTAGACTAAATTTTCATAGCTTTTATCCATTAAAAGTGGAAACTCTCACTCATGCAAAATCTGCTCCGAACTCTAACTCTAACTTTCATACTACACATTGTACGAAATCGAATTTTTTTAAAATATATTTATTCAGTTAAGTGATGATAACCTCTGTGGAGGAATCAAAAAATTCTGTCGTAGAATACTAAATATCCAAAAAGTTGTATACATGGTTGCCATGGCAACTGAGTTGTCAATAACTCTAGCATAGGAAACTGGGTTTGTTTAACTATGAGGCGGGTACGGAGATGAATATTTAAAGAAAGCAAACCTTGTTTCCAGTTTCTTCTTACAAGCTTTCCGTGGTTCAAAAGAGAGAAGACACTGGGAATGAGGATGGTTCACGGAAAGAGTTTATGGGATTTTTAAGCAAAAGTTTCTTAGATGTATCCTCGAATCCTCTGCCAGCCCCAAAACTCATTAGAGTTGATTCTAAAGCTACTGGCCTTCTTTATCTTGGGCGTAATGTTCTTCAACTTCAGACCAGGTTTCATTATCTTATGACAAAAGGGTAAGTTAGATTCTTTGTTTGAGTCGTAGCCATATTCCGATGTGTCTTTTGATATACACTACATACACATTAAACAAAGAAATGATACTCTAGGGAATTAAACGTGGTCTACGATGGGAAAACATTGAGCCCATGGTACAATGAAGTGGTCAGCGGGTTTGAAGTTTATTTTGTGCTCAAGAATAGATCCCTTACACTACTGATTCCCGCGAGAAGTTGTTCTGGAGGACAAAACAATGGATGTTTGTTTTGTTTGTTTGTTTGTTTGTTKTTTTTTTTTTTTGATTTTGCAGAAAAGAAGGCAAATTGTTTTGTCCTCCCAGAACACTGAATTCCTCTACAAAATATATACAAAACATTAAGTAATAAGAAGTCTAGCTACAGATCTTTTGCTAGGCTATGAATTCCTTGACTGTAAATATATAAAAAACTGAAGTATAGCGGGGGAGGTGGTGAATAAATAAATATACATATATAAATAAAAATGCAGGAAATATTTACAGTACTATGTTTTAACATAATAAATCTAAAATAATAATTGATTATATGGATTCGGAATAACATTTGTTTTCAAAAAATGAGAATACAGTATGACCAAAAAAATCAAAATGACAAATTCCGTTGATGATCATGAAGACCTCTAATTTTGAATTTTCTATCAAGGTTCGATTCACAGACAAGATAGTCTTAAAAGTGTTCTACCGCAAATATTTAAAATACCTCGTATATATCTGCACCAAATTCTTGGAATCTTGTTTTAGTACTTCTTGCCACGCGCTAAGATGAGAAGTGAATCAAAACATGGCTTGGCTCTTGCATTTGTAGCACATCCAGCTTTGTGTTGTTGATAAATTAGCCTTGTCTATTCTGAATCGAGTCCATGTTAAAACTCCAAAAAGCTTGAACGACTACTATAAATACAACATGGACCAAACCCCCCCGCCCAAAAAGATAATTCTACTGCTCAGGGTATAAAACAAGTCAACAAAATAACAAGCACTGGAATTATTCCACATGGTGCTAAATTTACACGTCAGTAGGGTAATTATTGATGGATTTATGTCCAAAACATTGTGTCAAAATTATGTTTTTGTCTGAGAAGAACGACGGAATTTTGGAGAACGATTTTCGCATTTGTGGGAAACACGGTACGGACTCTACATGGTACGATATAGGATAACATTTATTATACGATGTAAAATATTTATGCTTAATATACAAAATAATATATCTATGTGAAGGTCGATTACCTGTGGGTTACCGGGATCAATCCTCGGTCCTCACCTAGTTCCCCTATATTTCAGTTCAACTATTCATACTACACGGAACATTACTGCTTAGAAACCTAAACTCCAATTCTGTTTGCAGATGAAAAATGACTTTTATTCTTTTCCGGTCCGGTATCCTAAAAAATCGTGCGTTTTGATTGGCTGTTTGAGTGGGCGGTATTTTGTAAGTATTTGCCCGCGCTCGCTGTCCGGTATCCTTTGCCGCTAAACAACAAAACAAAACGATTACAAAAACAAGTAAAAAAATGCAGGAAAAAAATAAATAAGTCATTTACCGTCCTATAGTCAGTCCGGATAGGGAAAAACTGTGCCCTCGGTCTTGATAACGGCTTCGGTCTGTATATTCAAGACCTCGGGCACAGTTTTCCCTATCCGGACCTCCTGGCCGGTAAATAACATATATATATATATATATATCAATATAAAGTGGAGCGAATAAAGCTCTGCTGCCGATAAAGGCAAACAGTGAACTCGCGCTAGTATCCATGGCTCATAGCTACAAGCAACATCTAAATCAGGTCTGTCTTACTTCGTGATAACTTTGGCTATTTAAATATCTTTTAGTCTGTTAGGAAAGTTTTGCTTGCAACTGCCACTCCCGAACAAATTCATGTCATTTGTGAGGTCTGCCATAATCTATTGAAAGGAGTTCACGTTATTTCATTTTTTTACTGTCAAAAAGGAGAGATCTCATGCTCACGACATCAGAACGTTAGCTGACTCATCAGTGCCGGTGTCAATACAAAGAAAATGAATTTGGCCCAAAAGGGCGGCAGTTTTGTGGAAGATATTGCATCACCTTTGCTTGTGTTTTAAGTTTATTCGGTAAATAATACTGAAGGGCTAAAGAATCTCATTCTACCCTCTCATCCACACACTAGTGAGCACTATGAAGCGGCCGAGAAATTGTGTAGATGCATCAGACTGGAAAGACTGAGGTAGATGCATCAGACTCCGAGACATCGAGTATTTAAGAAGGAGCCTTTGAACAATGATAAAATTGAACAGATGGTACACAGTTTCCCAAAAGCACCGCCAGGGAGAACGCTCTAAATTTACTTTACGGCATCGCTGCTTCTAAGGACATTTATATTGGAGTTTGCATGGAGTAATGATTTTTCATCAACGAAGAATCCCAGTCACCATCATAAAGGAACTAATTGTTATCCGCTGCGTTTTCAAAATAAAATTTGTTCAAGTGATCCGAAACAGTCTCGAAAGAAAAAAAAAAAAAACAAAAAAAAAAAANTAAAATTTGTTCAAGTGATCCGAAACAGTCTCGATAAAATAACAAATAAAAAAAAAAAAAAAACAAAAAAAAAAACGACAAAACAACAACAACAACAAAAAGACGTGAATGATTGTACTTGGGTAAACCTTTATTGTTGCATAATCAATCAGTAGTTTACATTTATCTATAGCATAAAATAAGGGAATTTCTTTGTCAAGTTTGCAAGCAAGCACACAAGCAGTCATTCAAGTAGCGGCAAGGCTTGTGATCAAAATCTGTATCCCCAAATATATATTTACTTTTTGTAAAGATAACAGGTGCGGCGCGTCTAGACTGCAATGCGACTTTTAAATTATATATTTTTTGATTAAGGCACCCCTTTAGAACTTCAGCGTGGTTCATTGTCCTCCCGGATAGCAACAGACGCCAAACGGTGGATGGCGACATGAAAACTCTGTATAATGAAAGCCTTTAGTTGGGCAGCTTCCTCGAAAAGCCCAAAGGTCGCCTTTGCGTTCAAGTCCATAACATTTACACCTCACAGCCCGGGGTTTCAAAGGTATTTCTATAAAGCGTAAAAAGTAACAAATAATTAACAAAATGGAACCAGAATATATGACAACTACAGGTCTATTCAACAATGAGATCCGAAGCCTGAATGCATGTACTTAGTCTCCTCCACAGCCGCTTTAAGTGTCTTCATGCAACAATTTCTCCTTTTAGTGGAAAAATTGTTGCGTGACGACACTGAAAGCGGCTGTGGGGGAGACTAGCATGAACTGGAAATATTTTTACATCAAAACATTTTTTTATAAAAGTAAAAGGGAAGACAAAGGCCTTATTCAACGTCAGGGTTCCTTCAGCTCGTAGCTGTACTCCTAGTGAGCTGACGGTGTGCGCTTTACCTCCCTCAGCTTTCCCCATCACTGCCATGTTTTAACAAGGATTAGAAATTAGTCGAAAAAGAAGTCGAGATCCCATGGATCGAACCGTTGACGTTAAGCTCCGAAGGCCGCACAAAACCCGACTGAGCCTTTTCTGCTCCTAAACTGAGTGTTGTTAACTTTGAAATATTCTAAAACCCAAATATTCCGACCAATCGTATTAACTCGTATTAAATTCATATTCAAAAATTTTTTTATGTATTTTGTTTCATACCATCGCGCAATTGTAATCCATTCTCCACATGTTTTCCGCTAAGACAATGAAAAAGAGTGCAAAGTACCAACACAGCCAGGAAGACAGTTTTCTCCATTTTCAGTTTGCCACACTGAGTTATCTGTTTTCTGTCCAAGAAATATACAAAAATAAATAAACTCTTCCTTTTAGATGCAAATATATAAAACATAATAATATGGATTCGGAATAACAATTGTTTTGAAAAACGAGAATATGACCCCAAAAAAAATCAAAATGACAATTTCCGTTAGAAAAATAATCATGAAGACCTCTAATTTTGAATTTTCTGTCAAGGTTCACAGACAAGATAGTCTTCAAAGCGTTCTACAGCAAAGAGATAAAATACCTCGTATATATCCGCAGTAAATTCTTGGAATCTTGTTTTAGTACTTCTTGCCACGCCTTAAGATGAGAAGTGAATCAAAACATGGCTTGGCTCTTGCATTTGTAGCATATCCAGCTTTGTGTTGTTGATAAATTAGCCTTGTCTATGGGGGGTAGGGGACAGTAGTGTTTTGTCACCCACGTGTTTATGTGGATTTAAGTATTGTTTAACTTATCAAAATTATTATGAAATCTTCTTAATGAACTGAGATTCTGGCTTACTATAGTAAAGTTTACTTATGAAATATTCTGAATCGAGTCCATGTTAAGACTTCAAAAAGCTTTGAACGACTACTATAAATACAACATGGACCAAATCTCTCCCCCCCCCCCTAAAATGATAATTCTACTGCTCTGGGTATAAAAAAAAAGTTAACAAATAACAAGCATTGGAATTATTCCACATGGTCGGTGCTCTATTTACCGTTGCACGTCAGTAGGGTAATTACTGATGGATTTATGTCGAAAACATTGTGTCATAATTATGTTTTTGTAGTAGCAGAAGAAGGACGGATTTTTTAGAACGACTTTCGTATCTGTAGTGGGAAACACGGAACGGACTGTACATGGTACGATATACGATAACATTTGCTTTACGATATAAAAGAGTTTTGCTTAATACAAAATATTCATATCTAGGGGAAGGTTCTTGATTAGCTGTGGGGTACCACACAGATCCATGCTCAGTCCTCTCTTATTCTATTCTATGCGTAATGAAACTTAAAACTTGATGCCACATGGACACATCTTCGGTTCTCTCCTATTTCTGCTATATATAAACGATCTACGTAACGTTACTGCTTATAAAACTCCACTTCAATTCTGTTTGTAGATGATACTTATATATCATTATCAAGTTGTACAAATAAAGCTGATGCTGAAAACCATGAACTGATAGAATCCATGAATGGCTCTTAGCTAACAAGCTAAATCTAAATGTGACTTAAACCAAGCTTACGTTCAGGTAATGCCCGCACTAAAAAAATTGCAGAAAATTAAAAAGAAATAAAAAAAATGGAGAAAAAACAACACATAGCGTTGCAGGCTAACGAGTGTCAATGGCCCGTTTGCCAGATGCTGCAGTCCTGTTTGGTTTGACAAATGGGTTGCCTGTGTCTTTTTTGGTGTCTCGCCGGTCGCATGCTGCACATGCGTGGTAGAACAAAAACAACAACGGGTTCCAAATTTTCCATCTTATAAACCAATATGTACGGAATACAGCGGAATTTTAGCATCTCTGGTACGTGAAATACTTCCAAAATAACCCTTACTTCACAATTTAACTCCTTAATAACTAATCTTTCCTCTAAAGGTAATCGGTATGATTTTTTCGACGAGCCGAACCCGCTGGATCTGTCGAAAGGTGAGTGAAATGATCGCTATACGTTGTGAAACTGGTGTGGCCATCAAACACCAATATTTTTATTTTTCTGTTTATTCTTTCTTTTTTGTCTTTGTGAAGCTGTAAAATATATCATATTGATTCTTTTGCTATGAAGCTATTTCTCTCGATTTTGATTATTTACAATGTTAAAACTAGAATTATAAATTTATATTTACATTGTAGACATTGCAAACATCCTACCATGAAAACTCCCGTTTTTCTCGAGAATTTTTCGATTTACGAATATTTATTATATCTTGATTTTTTAATAATTAGTTTATAGGTATTTTTTTGAATTTGTGAGCCGATTTTCTATAAGATAAAACATCGAATCAGCTGCATTATGCTCCAGGGGGCATTTGATATCATAAAAATATTTCATAGTATGGGATTCTTGGGGTGCAACCACATGACTCATAATCCCTCAAGATATAAATAACAATGAAACAGCCGCAACGTTGGTTGGTCTAACAAGAGAAGCTAATTAGAAGGCTTTTTTATTGACTTATTATTAATTAACAAGGGGAGGGGTGAATGGATGGGGGTGGG